ATAAGAAAAAGACTTCTATAACTTTTATAAATAATAATAATGACATTATATGATAAGAACTTTATAATAAATAATAACTGAGTATTATATGGTGAACACGAATATATAAAATTTTTATTTTTTCTTATATCAATGAATAAATATATTCTAAAATCAAATTTATATAAGTATAATGTGTTAGCGGAATAATATACTAATTAACATGTTAATTTTTGGGCTAAAATAAATGTCACTTATTAAAAGATGTGAAATATGGATAATCCAAGCCTATTGTTTTTTGCCAAAAGGTACAAGTGCTATGAAAATAATTGATTTATTATATGTATCACGTGCATGGCACGGGCTATGCACTAGTAATTAAATAGAAGGTCGATGATGGGAATCGCAGATCGGAGGTCGCAAACAGCTTCACCAGGAGATGAGGGTTGTCGGACGGGGGTCGGAGCAGAGAGAGCTCGCGGTTGAGGCCGACCTTCGCCGGAGATTAGTTGCAGTGGGTGGAATTCGCGTTGGTCGGTTCACGTTGTTGGTCAAGATCGCCGGAGATGCAGGGTAAGGACGGTCAGAGGTCGGGAATCAGGTCGCCGATGGTTGAGGGTTGGTGTCGATCGGAAAGAGAGAGAGGTGAGGGAGGCGATGGGTGAGAGTGGAGGAGGGAGCTGCGGGAATTTTGGGCGCAAGAGAGAGAAAGAGTTGAGCTGAGGGAATGAGAGTGGAATTAGGGCTTGGACCATTGTTGACTTCTGCTTTATATATCTCGCGAAAATTTGATGCACGCAAACTCTTTTTCAAGCCCTCAAAATTTCGCCTCGTCCATGAGTTCTATCTTGCGAATTTTGTCGAAGTACCAAATCTGAATTTCGAGCCTTCAGATTTTAGGCTCTGTCCAAGAATTGTAACTAGCAAAAATGGCATAGCTAGCAAAAATGATTTTCGAGCCCTCTAATTTCTGAAATTTCAACACTTAGGCATATTTTGATAATATCACTCCAAAGTCTCACTTAACTCATAAACACAATAAAAACTTGATTTAGCTCATTTTTTTAAATAAAAGGAAAAAAAAAAAGAAAGGG